TAGCCATAAGCTTACTTTAGTGTCCTGTTGTACACTGATATCACAATTACCGCCGATTTCTACAGGGTCTTTATGTATTTTTCTCACATTCCAGCATTATTATATTATCACTGTCATCTCATATTCTGCCATTATTACTTCAATAACGAAGTCTTCACAGAAGATTAAATGCGGGAAAGGAGGCTTCTGCTGGAGAAGCCGGGGAATGAACCTGGAACCTCTTCTCAAAGTGTTTCTTCCTCTTTCTTTCTTTCTTTCTTTCTTTCTTTCTTTCTTTCTTTCTTTCTTTCTTTCTTTCTTTCTTTCTTCTTCACTATAACACTTTTGCCCTAAGTTCTGAGAACTAGCCACCAAGCCCAAGCCCACAAACATGTTGTCTGAAGGCATTGTGGGGCACTGGAGAATGGCTATTTCAAGAAACATTCAGTAGCTGTCCATGATTCTCAAGGGCTTCAGACTATAGAATGTGATGGAGAGGGGAAATGGAGCCTGCATGATCACCTCCATTGAGCTCCTCACTCAACTCTCAACAACAGCAACCAATCGAACAAGCTGTATCAGATAATACAGGAAGCAGGACTATTGTCTTACAGCCTTGCTCAAGGACTACTTGCTGTCTTCCAACAATACAAACAAAGAGCAAAAACAGAGTAAACCAACTACAAAAAGTGTTAGCACATAGCCATAAACCACAGAAAGAAAGAAATGCAGTACCATCTGTTAAATACGAACAGTATACTGAACACAATGCAAGAGGCCAGTAGCTAAATACAAGCAATGAATGAGTCATATGATCAGCAATATACAAACAGTGACAAGATTCCAGATAGACTGATGTTTCACAATTACTTCTTGAAAGATCCCACAGATGCATAGATGGTTCAAAAGCCTTGGGTACATTATAATGCATTCCTGTAATGTTTATAAGTTTAGGTCTTGTATCACATCTCAAAATCAAAGAAGTAAACTAAAGAAGTAACTCAACTCAGCAATATCAAAATGCTGGCATGTTGCCTTAATAAAACGGCTATCTTTTATTGACTGTACATAAGACTCTGAAAGCTTTTTGAAAAAGAAAAACGATATGAATTCCATAACTAACTAAATAACTAGGTAGGGTTCTTTCAATCCTGTCCTTTTTAATCTCTAAGACCCTAAATGCCCTGTCTCAGCAGCCTTTTGAGCCATTCTCCTCCAGCGATATAGTTTAATGCTTGACTAGCAGCTTGCATTATTGATAGCAACATAAAATGTTTTAGCTAATGAGGTTGCACTGGAGCCAGATATATAGCCCTGAAAACTAAGCCACCTTTACAGACTTCTTTCTGTTCCCTGGAAGCAGGTAACAGGAACGTATTTCATTTCCTTCTTGGAAGTACAGGAGAAACTGCCATTCAAAGGGGATGAATTCAGGTTATATAAGGATGGAACCTACAAGAGGGAAATTCTCACACTTTGAGACACAACTTTTGCTCCCTCACCAATGCACTGCCCCCAGATGTACTCTCTTTTATTCACCCAAAATGTAGTTTTCTTGCCCACCAAAAATCTCTTCCTATCCAGCTTTCTCACACACAATTCCATATTTTCGCAATTCTATTGTACTCAGAATGAATGTCAGCAAAACAATTTTTTTGAAGAGATTGGCAGATTTTTGTGTTGGGAATATCCAGAAAACTGCTATGTAGTGCAACATATAGGACTAATAAAGGCCAGCTGAATTCAGACTGACTGTGTAGGCTCTCGCAGTACAAATGCTTGTTGAACCATTCACAGTTCACAAGACCAAAATACTCAAGAACTTCTGACAAAACACTTCACAAATTTTCACACTAGGGAGAAACATGCAGGAAACAGAATAGTTCCCACTCCCAGACATCACACATTTAGGCAATGGCACAGGCTCAGATTAATATGGAGAGGCTATGCACATAAATGTATCCGTCTGTAGGTGCCATTCAGATCATCAACCCAGCTGCAAGAGGCCATGAGCAAAATCAATGTCTATGACCCTCCACCTTATTCAGTGAATATGATTCTGATTTCTACATAAGACCTGCTCACATGACCAAACAAGAGCTAATGACCATGTTGAGGGGGGAGGGATCTGCCTTATCAGATACTTGGTTGTACTGGTAGCCTCCCAACCTTCACCTCTTCCTCTGTGCAGAGAGTGGTCAGCAGAGAGATACTGCCAAGACTGTACTCAACTGCTCACACTGGCACATGTGCAGAGGGTTAACAGCTCTTAGTTGGTAGGTTATAATTTCCAGCCATGTGTATAGACAATGGCTTTGTTTCATTTTCAGTTTAATCCCTCATGCACAGATTTTAGCCTTTATACCTGAAAAAATTCACCTCCTATTCTCAAAGCTGTCTCCTTTTCATTACACCTCTAGTCCTTACAATGCCATCTTCTTGCCTTATTCCAGTGAGCATAATATTCTACAGGGCTGGGGACCTTTCAATCCTTCTAACCAAAGGGCAGCTCAGATGGGATTTGTAATACAGCAATACTTCAAGAGCCATAGTTTCCCCATAACTGATGTTCAGGAGACCTGATAGAATATGGAAGCCTCAAGCCTCTTCAGAATGATCTGTGTCACAGAAATTAGAGCTATGTAATATCAAGCTGCAAATACAGTATGACCACGAATCACATATTGTGACCTATGCACTGCTTTCCTATTCTTTTCTATTCCCAAGTAGGACAGGTTTCTTGAGCCATTGGTAAGCCACTGTTCAGGGCTGGTGGGGTGCACAAGTTGTGCAAGCATGAAGAGGATGACCACATGTTATGCTTTACAGAGGACAGTCCTTTCTATGGTTTCCACTATTTGAAGGGCAACCCATCCAAGACTGATTAAAAGTAAAAAGGAAAGGATCTTAAAGTTTCCCATCAGCAGTCCATATCTGGACAGCAGAATGAGCAAGCACAGAGGCTACCTGATCACAGTTGTCCCCCCTATGATGAGCTGTATTGTGTCTCTACTGAAGTTAAAATAATTGTTTCTAAATTTATACCAATACAGCATGTGCAAGTGTTCTTCAGTCTGTGCAAGCTTTCATTTCATTATTTCTTTCTTTCATTCTCTCTCTGTCTCTCTGTGTCTTTCTTTCTTTTTTTCTTTCTTTCTTTCTTTCAGTGGATTATGTAGCCAGACACGTTAGGTCTGTCATAAAGGTGAGAAAATCTTAATTTCCAAAAAATAAAAATCTCAGCCAGAATTAAGTGGATTATGTACCAGACACGTTAGGTCTGTCATAAATGTGAGAAAATCTTAATCCAAAAAATAAAAATCTCAGCCAGAATTATTTCACAAAGATTTGCCTTCAAGGCCCATTGAAATCCCTTGCCCACTTACAATGCCAAAGTACACCATGGAGTTACTTTATGTCATGTGCTGCTTTGAACATTTACCTTTCCCGTTAAGTACTTGAAAGGGACTCTGGGGGAGAGAGAATATCAAAGGCAAACTAATCTGTCTTTGAAAGCTTACACTTAAAAAGGAAGGTAATTATTGTCCTCTATTCTCAAGCTGAAACACGGAGGCCCAGAACAAAATTAAGAGCCTGGCCTTTACAATCTGTCAACACTTTCAAGAGGATGGCAGCAGGCTGTACTATGCTCCCTCAATCCCAACTGGAAGGAGATCTAGAGGTCCATAGGAAGGACAGTCTTCCTTTTGAAGGTTTCCACTTTGGAAGTGCTATCTGTTGCAAGTCTAATTTAAAGAGGAGGAACCATAAGAGGTGAGATCAGGCACTTTGAATTCAGCCATCCATTCTGAGTACCTGAATAACCCACTATAATGCAATGCCTCTTGATTCTGTTTAAATTATGAGGATCTTTTCTAAAGTTTTATCTGGATCGATACATTAGAAAATGCAATTGTATACAATCCAGTGTCTTCTGTTCTCCTTCCACCACCACAGCCTGCTAGCCAGTAATATTTTAAGGAACAAAATACAACCCCCTTTCATAGATTCCTGCTCAAAGCAGAACAGGAAGAGGTAAATGCTGAGCCAAATCCATCAGCTCCACCTGTTTCTTGAGAGCAGTGTGTATGCCAGAGACCGCACTCCAGCTACCAGGCACAGCAGTAGGGGAATGGCAGTTGGCATCTGGGAGTGAGCAATGGCAGTGCCCTCCAAGTAAGAGAGGTGGAAACATCCGCTTATGTTTTTAAAGTCCTCTCAGTAAATGCTTAGCAAAATGGCCCCCCAAATGCACTTTTGGGTTACCTTTAGCCTACAATTCCGTGGTCTTTTCTGCAGACAGTGCAGTAAAGAATTCGTTGGGAAGTGCAGGTAAAACGTTGACAGGTTTTTAAAGTGAAAATCTAGGATCTTTGACTGTCATGGCTCTGCACGGGGAAGGAGGGAGGGAGGGAAGAAGAGGCACACTCGCTTTAGCACAGTGCCATCCCCTACATGGGAAAAACTGGCGCTGCTGAGCTCACATTTGTAAGCTGCATTATGCTGCAAACTGGATTACTCTCTGTCATTTCCATCTCTCCTGTGAAACAATGCTGAGGAGGGGTGCAGACAAGGAGCTCCGCTCCCCATTCCACCTCGGAGGGAAGGGAAGAAGTGCATGGAAATCAGTGAGGTCTGTCATATGGCATGAAATGTAGAAAGAACATGAGGCTGATGCCAGTATTTGTACTGTGCAGACTTTAGGCAGGTCCTCTGTTAGATTTTTCCTCTCTGCAAAATGCAAAAGGGGAATAACAGCATTCTGTTGAGGGTGGGGTTTGTCCCAGAGTATAGGATATTGCCCATAATTTTACTGGAAGTGCTAAAAAGAGCACATAGACAACAATTACATGTGCTGCATTGCCATGAAGCTATGCTTTTATTTTAAAGTATTTCTAAAAAGATGCATAACTTGACACAACCAGCAGTCATTCCATCTAGAAAGCTGCAGCTGAAGTAGTTGGGGTGAGATATAAAGCCATTCCATCAATTCTGCTAGAGACCACTTACTTTTTTTCCTCTTTCTTCCTGATTCCTTTTTCCTTTTGTGTTATGCCCTTTCAGATTCCAAGCCACTGATGTCCTTTACTGATTTTAAGCTTTTTCTGGCTGAAGAGGGGGATAAAGATACTTTTTAAGGAATTAAAATAAAATAATAACCAAAAATCACAGCTACAACTATTTCAAGGAAGGAAGGAAGGAAGGAAGGATGGAAGGAAGGAAGGAAGGAAGGAAGGAAGTGCTGTTTGTGATTGACAGCCGAGGAAGGTCCTTTCCAGCCACACATAGTAG